CACCTAGAGTTGAGCCTGCGATCAGTTGAAAACCAGTACAATGTCAGCGGAGAACTTAAAAATATTTAACCTCGATGGGTCGACACCTGAGCCCGCGCACACGGTGACAGTTGTAAACTGACCACAACATGGATGTGCAATATCAGGTTTCACAGTGGTGCGGACGGACAGGCTCCTATGGGGCTCCGATTGGGCGCGCTTCGTGCGTGCTTGGAGCTCCACTAATAAGACAGACGTCGAAGGCCCGTCCTGCGTACGTCGACGATAAGTATTTAGAATTTTAACTTCCTGAAAGTGTTTTCTATCGTATTGACAAAAGCCTTCCTAGCAGGCGCCGGTTAGTTTTTCCTAGGTAAATTTTATAGAGTGAAAGAGGAGAACAAGAACCAACCAGCAACCTGCCAGTGAGGTGTTACGGTATTGCACATCAGCGAACCGAGTACAAGAAGTTTAATACCTTCGCCCCCTCTTTCCCAGACTTCGCGCGGACAACAGGGCAAGAGAGAACGCCTAGGGACTAGGCTGAAAATTTGTCATTCCGATAATTTTTTTCTTGTATCCAAGAATTCAGCGCGGAAACAGAAATTCACGAACTGACTCTGTAGAGGGGGAACCTTGGTTCTTGACAGTTGACTGCTCTTAGACTAATTATTGATTGCAACAAAATTTTGTGCAAAAGTAAGAGAACAACGCCATTTTTTCCCTTAAAGGATGATAGATTCAAGAAAACGTTTTTTTCGTCATAAATGTTATGGTTAGAGAGTTGGAAAGAAAAGAAAATATTTTAGAAACATCACATTTCGAAGTTTGCTTTAATTAATACAGCGCAACGATATAAGCCAAGTTCAGTATAACCCACCCGAGTAGTGTAGGGACTGCTCGGAAGGTCTCTCCTAATTGGTCACAGGAAACAATGACATGTCATTCTTCCAATTGTTTTAGTATTGATTGGGGTCAGGAAAACGCGCCATTGGTGACTTCTCTTCCGAGCAGCTGCTACATGACCCTCAGTATAAGACGTATAAAAATTCTATGTGGCGTAAAACTTATTGTCGATTTCAAATTGTGCATTTTGCAATACTAAGATCATCGTCTAGTTTTTGACCATGATTTTTCGTTTTAGCAAACATTTTTGCGGTGCTAGTTGTTGTGACATAAAAGGCCATTTGCATTAGTTGGTCACGTTATCAAAGGGTGATTTAGTAATAACTCTGGCTGCGAGAAATGGCGAAAAACGTCAGTCTTAAAGATCTCTAATTACAAAAGGTCACCCTGCCTTCTGTATTGTGATGTACGGTTTCTTATGACCACTGATGCACGTGGTAAAAAAATCTGCATTTTACTCTTAAACGAGTCATTGATGGCCAATCTAATATCGTAGAGACAAAAGACTAACAAAATTTGCCGCCGCTGGAATAAGTTGTATCATCAATACAGATAAAGCTTGCTAAAATGATTTAAGCTTCTTAGTTTGTAATTGGAACTACTGTCTCACTGTACCAAGATGTAACCTAGTCCTTTTGTACGTGTTCCATTCTGAGGATTCTCATTCCCACATGCATTGCTGTCATCATGCTCCCCTCCGGTACCAAACCCAATTCTGGAGTCGCAGCTACCACAGTCGTCTACTTCGTTTCCAATGATACCGATTCTTGCTTTAGCCAGGTCTTCACCCAAATACTTCCTGTAGCTCTTGGCATTAAATCCTTCCTTGTTACAGCCAATCTGTAAGGAGCCCTGGGGACCAA